TCTCTGCTTGTCATTAATTTTCTCTTTGTTGTTAGCTCGTAAGCCTGTTAATTCATATAAATTCCTTTAATTTCCAAAGGAAGTTGCTACAAGGTTAGGACAGTACTGACACAGGCTGTTTCCTACACGTTTTTAATCTGTGTTTAACCAGTCTGAAAAATAGCGTTGTGGTGAACTGGACCATGCATGTAAAACAACCAAACAAAAAAAGGAACCAGATAGCATTTTAATTGAGTGTATTATGATTTTGCATGCTCAAATTCAGCTTTAGCTTCTTCAAATCCATAATGCAAGATTTTTATGCCTTGATAGCCAAAACGCCTGTCTTCTTGCTCTCCTCCAGAAGCTTGCTGTTGGCCACTGGTCTTGGGGGGGTGGATGACACATCACTCCTGGGGCTCTGCAAGCTGGGGTGAGGCACAGAGCACCTGGAAGAAGCCCCCCCAGCTGTCTCATGCCTCCACAAAGCCATTTAAAAGCAAGTCCTCACAATGAGGACTTACCAGATAGGAAGAGATGTGGAGGCAGAGTGTGAAGCTGGACAGGCTTTTGGTCTATGCTGCAGTGGCTTTCCTTACAGTCTGAGCAAAAATTTGGACTCAGACTTAAAATTTCATTAAAATGGTTGTTTGACAGAAACTTGGCATAGCTGCGTCCACAGAGCTGCCTGTGGAAAGCAGATTGCTTTTTGCTGGAAAAACCTCTGACAAATTCCAGAAGCTACAAATTTGGGTTTTGGAAATGGTGTTCCTGGATGACATTAATTTCTTTTGTCTTTGTTGGACTTGATGGTGGCTCACAAAGATGCAATCAGAGGGTGGTAGTGGATGGTGTTGGATGTCTTTTGGGCCACTTTCACCTCTGGCTGGGGCTTCTTGTCTGTCGTACATCTCCTAAAAGCTATAGCAGCCATGCAGCCTCTGTGGTGTGTGCACTGTAGGGCGTCCTAGGAAAGCCAGCCCAGCTGAGGGTCTTGGGTAACAATAAATTGGAGACTATAAATTTGGCTGGACAGCACTCCTGCACAGAGCGCAATGAAGCCACGCAGCCACAGTTTGATATTAAACTGCTTGAACAGCTTTCCCCGTGGTGTTTTTTGCTGTGAGCGAAAGGCTTTGAGTATGTGGGACCAAGATAATACTGCTCCACTGGCTTCTTCTGAAACCTTCCTTGCTGGCCCTTTGACAGAGAGCACTTGTTTTCATGTGGGTGGCCAGGCAAGCAAACAAGTACCTAAAATGAGATTTGGAGGTCTTGGTATTGGAGGTGCTTTGTCGGCCTCTGAACCTGCCACGTCCCCAGTGCAGCACAGTCCTATTCCATTCAGGGGATGAATTTTCCCTTATTCTGCTGGAAATATGTTTTTTCCTTAGGGTTTTGGTTTTTTGTGGGTGGTTTTTTTTTTTTTCTTTGCTCCCAGGCTTTATCTTGATCATTACAAAGACCTTTCTGTTCTAATTGCCAAAAAATGACACATTCCCTGTAGCCAGCAGCCTGCCAGACTTTAGGTGGGCTGTTAAAGCTTTTGGAGTTGATCCTGAAAGCTGTGCATCTCCGCAGCTCAGGAATGATGCAGTTATACTTTTCTAACAAACACAAATGGCGTATTTGCTACATTATTCCATCACCAGAAACGCAATAAAATACCATGAGACTGTTGGTACAGTCCTTTCTGTTCACAGAACTCCTGTCGAAATCAAAGGGGAGGGTTTCGATGGAGGGTCCTCCATTCGGCACATGATGTCCACCCTGTGTTATTTACATACGTACTCACTTCAGGAAAAATACATTTGAACTAAAACACAACAACAGATGTTTAAAAGGCCCCTGAAGGCAGGGGAAATGAAAAGAATGAAATGGAGATCAGGTCTGAAGCCCACTGAAAATGGTGGAGAAGACTATGGCTTGAGGGACCTCTGGATAGACCCTACCCTCCAAATGGTCTCAGATCCCATAGATACCAGGACAAATATCTGCTCCTGTTTAAGTTCATCCAAGCTGTGCCAGTGAAACTAGGGTTTAATGCCAGACTTAAAAGCAGCTTTTTATGGCAGGATTGCCTCCAGTCCATGCAAGCAAGCGTGGTCAAGTCCCTGCTCAGCTTCTCTGTTGCATTGAAGGGAGATGCTGGACTCCTTGCCATCCTCGTTGGGTTTTTGTTTCAGTTTCTTTTGCTGGAGGAGTTCTGCTTTCTATAAAAAACCACTGGAGCAGAAGCTGCAGCTACTGGCCTTGCACTGAGTTGTCCTAACCCTGGGTTGCTCTTGCTGTATTCTGGGTTTGGGGAAATTATTGCTGAAAGGGCCTGGGTTTGTGACGATGAAGAAAGGAGAAGAACATGTGAGCTGTCAGAAAGTGCTTGCTGTGAGCTGGGAAAGCGGCATGGCTGGAGTCCTGTCTGGATGTGGGAGTTGCCATTGGAGCCACTTGTGTTCTGGCCTAAATGCTAAGAGAGGTTATCGAGAGCATTTTGCAGCTTCTCAGGATACCCCTTTGGGCAAGGTGCCTCACGGCTGCCCAATTTGCGCTCTCTTGCACAAAAGCTGTGGAGATATTGAACGACTGCTGTTGACAGTGTCATGGGAAATAAGTCGCTGCAGAGCGGTGTTCCCTAAGGCAGGAGATCAGCAGAGTGTATCTGTTGTACTATCTGCATTATACAGCAAGAGTGTTTTCCCACTGCTGCACATGAACCTTAATTTATACTGTATTTAAACATTCATACTGGAAGGCTGACTTTCAGAGACTCGGAACAGCTGCAGCTCCTGCTGAATCCACTGAAGTCAGCTGGAGCTGAGTGAATTTGCTTCCTTCTAGTTAAATCCCTACTCGTCTTGTTGAAAAGGTCCAAGTCTGGCTATGGTGATAACAAGCTGTCTGCAGCAGACGGGCTGGAAAAATTGCAAGAAGGGTAATAAATTTAAGTATTTGTGTTGATTTTATGATTAAATTTTGGTAGATTTGTTGATGAGCGGCAGAAGTATAGAAACAGGCAATTAAGTGCTACCTTTTTGGGTCATCAGTCTTCTATGTTTGCAGGCTACCATGTTGTGGATATCAGATCCAGAAAGAGCATCCTGCTTAACCCAGAACAGCCCCCTTGCACACTTCTACAAAACGCATCTGAACCTCCTGAGATGAACTGAAGATGGGTTGTACCCAAACCAGAGTGTAGTGCAGGGTGACAGCAGAAGGGAGATGGGTGTTCATCTTCAGAGTTCACAGTCAAACTTGCAGATGTGTGTGTAACAACTAAAGATCAGGCATGAAAACAGGAACAGAAGGGGGAAAGGCAAAGTTGGTGCATTATTTCTGTTACAGCAGAAGCTCACAGTTGAGTTTTGGGTGCAGAGAAGCTATGGTGCTCCCTGAGCCTTGTGGGAGGAGGCTGGCGCCCCAACCAAGGAGATGAAACAATGGGTGGGACAAATTATATGTAATTATTTCCTCCTTTACTGCCAGGAAACTGATTACAGCCACAGTTCTCATTGAATAAAGTCTTGCAGATTTGATGAATATGTTTGCTGTACCTGCAGATGAATTTTCATAAGCAGTGCTAGTATGCTTATCTTCTTTGAGCATTTCTGGAATGTGTCTGCTGAAAAGATAGCATTAAGTTTGCATAGTCAGCAAAAAGGAAAAGGTAATTGAGCATGTCAACAGTTTTCATTCGTGGAGAAGTTGATGTGTTGAACTGTGATGGGTTTTACAGAGCATGCCCAATGCTGGGGGATCTTTTACTGTCATCAGTGTAGGCCACTTCGAAATGTCTGCTGTGAAGCTGGGATGACACGTGCCTTTATTTCTGTGTGTGATTTCTGCCTGCTTGGGCTATTTAAGTTCTAGGGCAATTAAGAACTAAGTGCAGTTAAAAATGGTTTGAAGTAATTCCTAGCATATTCTAGATCTAAACTACTTCATTAGTTCCATCACTCATGCTAAAAAAAAATAGCAAAAAAGTATTTATAATCTTTGGGGTATTTTTTCCTTTTTTGAAGTTAAGGTCTTGGTGTATAAATCATTGGTATCATTTTCAACATGAAAAGTAAAGAACTTCGTAATAGGCATGTTTCCTGCCATGCATCACAGATTTCTTTCTTAGACGTAGCAGTACAGGCTATGAGTTTGGAAGAGCTCTGCCAGGTGAGTTCTCACCACGCTCTGGTGTTTGGGTCCTGTGCTCCACAGGGTTCAGCCCTCACGTCATTACCCAGCCATGTTCTCCTGGTCTATTTGAGGCTTTCTCACTTTTCACCCCCCAGTTCCTTCCAAGAGGTTGGCTAGGGCCTGGGATATGACTGTCCTATGTCCCTTTCATTTTGAAGAAGTCATCTCTCACTTGAATTCCTGTTGTTCCTAGTTTGGGAGGTGTGTGACAACCTGCAGCAAGCTCTGTGTTCACTGAGTCACAGGTGTCACCCATCCTTGGGCTGGGCTTCCCGTCATGGTTACAAGTATAATTTTAACCTGACACATCACAATTTTTTTGAATAGCTGTCCATGCGTGACAAGGAGGCAGTATCTCTGCACCTTTGACTGCTGAAAGGCCATCATGTACATGCATCGCACAAGGCATACTCAATTTGTGCTTCCATATTGATAGCTTCAGGGCAAAGATTTTTGTTTTGTGTGCAGTTTGTTTTTTTCATTTACTGATCCCATCTACTAAAGAATGTAGTCTGAGGAAATTAGGTTTAAAATCGTTCATATACTGAGGGAATTTTGTGCAGAGGCTGATGGGGTGAGTGGGAACGGACTATTCTGCTAAATCTGTAAATTTTATTAAATAAGTTTCCAATAAAATTGAATGTACAAGAGAATGATTTATTGTTGTCCAACAATAAACAGAAGAAACCCTTGACTCCAGACTGTACAATGCAATTTTTGGAAGACTTTTAAATCACACTTGTATTTTGATTGAAGAATTAATGATTCTGCAGTCTTCCTTAGTGTATCTTGGACCATGTTTGCTTTTCTCTGTATTTTTTTTTTTTTTCCAGACTGCTGCGGGAACAGTGGATCAGAGCCAAATACGAACGAAAAGAGTTCATTTACAGTGAGAAGCAGGAGCCTTATTCTGCAGGTAGCAAAAGACACTTTTGGCAGATAAGTTTTTTGATGTCCAGCACCTTCTGTTTTTTCATCTCTGTTTATGTGTTCTTTATATTGATTATTGCTCGTATGTTGCTAAATAGGAGGAGAAAGTGTGGTCTTTTGGGAAAGACGCCTCCTGGTATTCCTTGTATTTGATTGGTAATATTGGGAATTTTAATACCTCATGGAAATAAATCAGTTATCAAGAGTCTTTCTGTTGACTTCCGTGGGCTGTTCACCAACAGCAAGTCAGATAAAGTACCAGTGAGTTTGTTTCTTGGTAGCGTGCGGCATGGAGCTGGATTGAAATGGAGCTAAGGGTCTTTGCCTCCTCAAGGTGACTTTTGTTTTGGAAAGATGAAGTAGGATTATTAGCATCGTTTTGTTAATGGTAGATAAATGTGCCAGGTCCCCCACTCTTCCCAAACCTCTGTTTCCACAGTACTTCAGGTGGTGTCAGTGGGACCTGGTCTCCTTGTAGTATAACAAACGCACAGTGTTTTGCAATTGCAAAGACCCACCACGTGTGACAGAGCTCATTTCAGCACCGCCAGCATGATGGGCAGAGTGACGGTGGGCTTGCAAAGGGGTGGTTTAGAAGAGCAGTGGATCGGATGATTTTCTGGCAGAAGGGCAGGGTTTGAAGAGGACGCGCAGGGCTTGACTGTGTTCGTTGTGTGGCTGCGCCAGCATAAGGACCGGCGTGAAAGTGCATGAAATTAGCTGGGTATTTCTTTGCTATAAGTTAAGTGGCGTTTAATTTATTCTGCATATTAAGTAGTTGACACCAGCTATGTGCTTGGATGACTCTGGGATAATGTTATTAGCAAAGACCATGTTACAGATGAAAGGTTAAATAAAATATTATTTTCATGCTGCTTTTCAAGACTAATAATAAACAGGTAGCTCCAGCAGTTTGCTGTTACTAAAACCACAATTAAAATCTTATCTCATACATTCTCAATTTATGTTTAGAGCATTTCTGCTCTATTTTGTATACGAGGCATGCACATAGTGTGTGTGTGTGGTATCCATGTTCATATATAGTACATTGTGCACATTTGTATTTTAGATTTTCAAAGCAGTCTGCTGGAGTTGGACATGTTCTATTAACAATAAATAGTTTGATTTCTTAGATAATTTTGGAATACATCTGCCAATGTGTGTATAACGTTCACCCAGGAATAACGTTTTCAATTTATACCATGCAACTTCCAGGTATAAAAGCTCAGATTCAACTAGGTACTTCAGGCAAACGCATAAATTTAAGCACACGATTAGTCCTTTCGACTCCAAGAAGAGTGTGTACCTGGTTAAAGTGAAGTAGGTGCTTCAGTGCTGTGTGGGAAGAAGGGCAGCGTGTTCTGAGCGCTCTGAAAAATATTATAGGAAGAGTTCAAATGGGAGTTTATTTTAGCAGCGTATTTTGTAGGTGTTCTTCAGTAATGTGGCTGCATAATATTTAACTGCATGGTGAAGCGATAGGGTTTTCTCCCCTCTCTTTGAAGTTCAAAAGCCATTAAATGTAGAATAGAAGAGAACAGGGCAAGCCATTTTAAATGAACAGTGCTCTGAGGAGGAGGGGGAGGGAAGGCGGGCTGGTGGGCATCTTGTAGGTTGTGTATGAGTGCTTTAGGTTGTATGTTGTCTTTCAGAATTGTACCATTGTTAAAATCCAGTGTAGGAGCTGTGCAAATGACCTGTGCAACAGGGATATCATTTGTTGATTCTTCTGGGCAGTAAATTCAAAAGGGAGCTTTGGCCAGGTGGTTCCTCCTTAGGATGGCCAGGTTGGTGTTACAACAAAACAAAGCTGGGGGGACACACGCCAAACTTGCAGTGCCAATTTTTCCCTTCTGCTGA